TTTCAATTTTTATTATCGAAAACATTGCATCACTGAAGTGGACTAATAATAAGACTTTTTTTTATTGGTTCTAGTAATGGAAAACCATATGCACGGAATAATCAACGTTGAAATGCATTCACTCTAAACCAAATTTGACATTTAAAATGGGAATCTCAAACTGAATGAAATAATTTGGAATTTGAGATTCGAATCTTAATCAAAAAACCTGTATGTTATTGCGATGGTTCCCTGCAGCTCCCACTAGTTATTCCACTCAATGCTTTTGGAACAGACTATGATTAATAAATCGGAAGATTTAATTATGAGTTGTTTAAAATGTATCACACATGTTCTTTTCCCCGTAAAATGATGCTATAGAGACAAGAATGACCAGATCGTTAAATTGTACGGAAAAAATCCAAAGCTACAGAGAATACGGAAAGAGCACGTGAATTGGTGTATGTATGTGGGGAAGAAAAATTTAATTATCTCTTTTGGCTTGTGGTATTGCATCGAGTCGAAAACATACTTGAAATCTGCATAAATATATGTACGTTTTGCGTGTGTGTGTACATAAGAAATAAAATAAAGAAAGAGAGAAAAGGGAAGCCAACAGCACGAATGTTTATCGGCGTTTGTTGTGTTTTTCTATTGAATAACAACATCGTTGAAAGCGGGTCAAATGAATGAAAGAAAATCCGTAGCAAAGAGCTTTCAAGTCATTTGGGAATGGTTCGTGCAAAGGACATTCGAATCGCTTTTGCAAGCCGAAATGCCTTATATCCCCATCGGTGAACAATTTTAATAAAACCCCACGCTCGCAGTCACACGACCGTTTGTCTCTTTCACGCCGGCATTTTTCTTCTAATGATCGGTTTGTTGTGAGTCTCAAGGCATAAATTTTGGGTTAGCGTCAAAAACCACGTCACGTACGGATAATTACACATGTGTTTCGTGTAAACTGGTTCGTTCAAGGAGCGATGGAGAAAGAGAGAGCGAGAGAGAGAGAGAGATATATATAAAGAGCTGTAGGAGTAGCGCACACCACACCAGCTGACCTGAATAGAATGCATTTCAGCAATATTCGTTTAATGAACTTCACAAAGAACGTCAAACTATGTGCCGACTTCCTATACTTTAATCAACTTTCAACCGGTGTATTATGCCACCGGCGAAATACTCTTCATCTAATTTGAGTGAGTTGTGGCCGAACACATACATACCCGCAACAAAAACAGCACACCAAAAACGAACTGTTGGTAAAACAACAACTTTTCAAGCCATTGTCTGAACGACAAGACAATGTGACACACGTGAAGAATAACGAACGAGCCACGGGACAAGAAATAAACGAAAAATGAAGAAAAAGCAGCAACAACAACAATAATAATAACAAAAACCGAAAAATTCGATCCGTTGCACGAAACGGATGTGAAGAAAAGGGCCATTCATTGATTTTCACATTGTGTATGTGGACTTTTCATATGGAATAAAATACGCCTTGAGCTGTCACACAGAAGCAGTGCGGCTTGAGCACAAGTTTACAATTTTCTGAAAATCTTTCTCTTGGTTGTGATGTCATTGCGTGTAGCACGGTGTACTTTTTCCTTTCGTCTAGCCAAAGTTTATAGTGCGACGACTCTCGGAAGACAAACTTCGATAAATGATTGCCTCCCGAGGAATATCGATGATTTGACAAACTCCAAGCGCATCGACACTCTGTGTTTGCACATACGTTTCACATACATACACACAAACATGAACTTGGCTTCGAATGTGATGTACACATTATTTGCTCATTTTTCATTCGGATTCGATAGAGACGGTCGCCGAATTACGGTTCATCCATATCGAATCAATAGGGGAAATATTCGGTATTGTGAACGAGCAAAGGCGATAAAGATCGAAGCCACGCAAGGGATATTACAGTTCGTTAGTAAAAATCATGAATTCAACCCCAAAAATAGTCAAGTGAATTGAGTTTCGAACCAACTCATGAAATATATTCAATCCTACAAATAGAAAGAAAAAAAGGAATCTTCTATGAAGATCGATTCGAATCCGGTGTCACGCTATCGCGAAGTTTGTGTGTCTTAAATGATTTACTAAAAAAACTGATTTCGGGCAGGAGGGGAGAGGGGATTTCCATTGATTGTGTCTAAGGTGATGAATATGGAGAAAATTAAATTGAAAATGTCAGTTCAAAAATGAACTTCATTATTCACGGTGACATCGAGCATTATTTTGTGTGTACGTGATGTTATGATGCGACCCTCTGAGCGACTCTTCTGCTTTTTTGGTGTGTGTGTGTGTGCTGTCGAATGCATTTCGGCATTGATTTGCATTGTTCGATCTGCCGCCAAAATCAGCGATGGATAAATCATAGATGTCCCATCGGAATGCAAATTCCAATGTTTCTCGCTCGATGAAAAGCCCGTAAAGTAACAGAGTGAAATGAGCGATGGGAAATTGGAGGTGGCGACAACTTGCAAACACGTTGATCCAGTGCGATGCAATTCGAATGAGAACGTGCGAGAGAGCGTGGCAAGATTGAGCCATGCGACAAGTTACGAAATGAGCGAACACAAATGTGAGAAATTGGTATTCACATTCGAGCTATGTAGCACTTGATTAATAATATTATTAATAATGTTGCAGTGCACGAGCGAGAGCGAGAACAAGGAGATGAGAGAGAGAGAGAGAGAGATAGAGAGAGAGAGAGCGGTGGGGGGTGTCTTCTGTCAACGGGTTCGTTTGCATGGAAAATGAGAGAGATAGAGACAATGCACGCATTGAGATTAGAAATAAAATGTATTTTCAACTTGATGTCACGTACTCCATCCACTTTGCTCGTTCGTCCGGAATGTTCTTCTCTTTCAGTTGCCGTGTACGCTCAATGTTCATGCATTTGTTTTCGGGGCTCTGCAACTCGACACAATATTTACAAGAATATTAATGACGAACATGTTTAACACACAGCAACAGCAGCAGCGGCAGCAGCAACTGTAGCAGCCGCATAATCACGGCTCAAATTTTATTGAAAAATAATCCAAAAAAATCATCATAACTTGCCACACAAAGTTAATTAAGTTGATTGGATAAAAAGTGTGTCCACAAAAGGTGCACCAATATTTATGTACCACCATTGAATTGCGTCATTTGTCCCCAAAATCTGTACAGCTCGACGCTGAGGGGCCCAATCGCTGTCGGGTAATTCATTGTCATCGTTCTCTGTTTTGCTCTCGGTTATGACATAAATTTGAATAAAAATACCCTGGCTGAATGAAAATTCGAATGAATGGCTGAAAAACAATAAGCAAAAAGGAGAACGAATTTAGATGTGAATCAGTGGGAAAATGTTTGTTGTGTGTTGTCATAATGCCAATTACACGCAGATATACACGTATATATATACTGAAAATACTTTACGCGTCTTCGTTTTGTGTGAGCAGCGCATCGCATTGCTTTCTGATTGGAATTGCTAATTTATTTTGACTCAATTCAACCCACTGTGCAAACAACAACAACAACAACAGCATCAACTTCAGCGATGATGCCTTTGTCATTTTCGGTTCGTGTTTTGCTGAGAGATGCTGCGAGATGCAGCGAACGCGCACCAAAGCCACGAATGAGTTTTTATTATTATGCATGTAAGGTTGGTCGTTGAGTTTTCAATTTGATTACTAATTTCATTGTTATGTATTTTGAGTACGGTTTATTCTTAATGCAGAAAAAGAACTTTGTTCTGCTGGTCATGCCTTTGCTGGTGCTGTTTGTATGACACACAGTAAGAGCGTACGCAGTATCAATGCCTGCATCCCAATGGTAATGGATCAGAATACGGCTTTTGCATTTTACCTCAGCTCGATGTGACACGTTCAGCAGCAGAATGTTCTATTTTCGATTTACATTTTTTTTTGTTCTTTTCTACTTTTCCGGTTTTTCTCTTCAGTTTTTTTTATGATTTTTTCACGTTTTCTCTCCCTCAAAGCTGCATAAAATCCACTGAAGTCTCGAAAAGATGATGGGATTCACCAGTTTCATCGCAGAATATCCAGTTTTCATAGAGTCATCCTGAAAAAAAAACTCTCTTTTGCTCATCAAGCCTCATTACCAAAAATCCATGTCAATGTTATTCCATTTATGATAAAATGTGTTTTCCTAGTTTGTGAATGTCTGGCAAAAATACGTTCATCTCGTGACTCAACTGAAATGATTCAACGTTCTGTATGTCGGATTTCAATGTTGTACGCATCAAACGAATAACAAACGAAATGAATCACATCAAAATAATAATACGCGGCGTGTTTTTCTCTAGGGGGATTTAACTACGTGAAAACTTGTAAAAAAATGATATAAACGCGCACGAAATTGTTACATTCACCAGAGAACTTGCATGATTCCACTCAGTTGACAAGTTCCGTATTAAAACAACATGCGCGAACGCGCGCGAGTTCGTGTGCAAACTTGTAGCTGGACGACGCGCACACATCAGTCGTTCCATTTATTATATCTGGATTAACTTTTTCTTCAACACTTTCTCCAGCTCTTTAAAAATATTTCCTTTGTCCATTTTATAATTATATAAATCTTTGAACTTTTGGAAAGGATGTGAAAAATCTTTATACACGTAAACAACCGATTTTTAGCTTGAAACGCGTTTTAATTGTCAAATAACAACTTGAAAAACGCGCAAAACCATAAACAAACTTGTGTAAACTTGTGACCGTGCGCGTCAGTACGTACAAGGAACGCGTCGAACTCCCGCGAATCAAGCAAACTGGCAAAAAACATGCTGAACTCGTAAGAGTTAAATTCCCCTAGGTTTTTCTGTCTGTCTGTCTCTCTCTCTTTCCACATCTGGTTCGGAAATCGTTGTCTCTCCCTCTCCCCTGCCAGATTATAGATAGTAGCCTGTTTATTCATTCGAACAATAGACGATTCGATTGCCAATTCTGTAATCCGATTTTATTAAATGAAAATGTGTGTTTGTTGTTCTTTTATTCTCTTCGTAACAGGTCCCGCATTTTGGGGTTTGATCAATCCACAATGGAACATGTAAGTGAACTTCAACATTAATGTTTTAATCTTTCTCTCTAACGATGATTGCCTATTTCTCCAGGTGCACAAAGGGTCGCCGACAATCGCCGATTGATATTGAACCAGACAAACTGTTATTTGATCCATACCTTCGGCCGCTGCACATCGACAAACACAAGGTAGAATGTCATGAATTACCTTAAAAATGATTATTTAATAGGTTGACCGAGAGGTCAAAAAGAGCGAAAAAAAAAGAATCACTGAACCACAAACATGAACAGACCAGACTTTGCACAACATAAATAATCACATATTTCATTATTCTCGTATTGTATCCAGCTTTCCAAAGCCCAGCCATGATTCAAATTAAAGACAGAGAAAAAAGTCCGATAGAAGAAGAGTCACGATTTTTGCCGTCAAAGTTTTCCTTTCTTCGGCGGAAATTTACATTCCCGATGCCGGCGCCGATGGGCATGAAACATAAAACGGAATAACTCATGTATTTTGATTCAATCGTGATCGGGAATTTATATGCATGTGCACGTTTTCAATATTCTCTCCTTCTTTTGTTCGCTCGTTCGTTCGTTCGTTCGTTTTCGTGTTTATATTTTTTCCTCTCTTCTAAAACATAAACTTACCATTTGGCAGTGAGGGAAATAAACATTTGCATGGCATAAGGAACAGGGCGACGAGTTACGATACAAGCTGCAGAAAAAAAAACTGAATAAATATTAAGATGGTGTCTCAACTACGAGACATCCGGCAAACATGAATATGAAGTGTTTTGCACTACGACAAAGAGAGAGAAAAAAAAGAGGAAAAAAACCAGCACAAGGAAAATATGAAAACGAATCGATTATCGAAATGTGATGGGCGAACAACAACAACAACGAAATAATAATAATAGTCAAAATGGATAGAGAATATTCGCCATGCCATCGCAACACTTTTCCAATCGTTTGCTTCTTGACTTGAGTTTTTCTCACACTCCACGACGGCAAAAAACATACAATTTCCAGCAAACATGTTAACTCTTCCTCTCCTTTTTTTCTCTGCTCAAGATGGGCATATAAATAGAAAAGAAATTCGTTGCGAAAAAGAAAGGGAAAAACCGACTTTGAATCATCGAATACTTCAAGAAAGTTGGCGATCAAAACTGTGCACATACTCGAATTGATTTTCATAAGCATTTTTATTTGCATTGAAGATGCAATTCTTTTGCATTCCACTCCAAACTCCGATACTGAGTTGAGCGATCTAATGGCAAGATAAAGACTCGGGGAAAAAAAGGTGACGATGTGAAAGAAACGAGCCGAAAAAAAATGGATTTCCCCCATAGAAAATGACAATTTTCATAAATAAAAGAAAAACACACATTTGTAACAAGAAGAAAAAAATTCAAGAATCATTTTCTTATCGAAGAAACATTTAGATGTGTATATCCCATGGAATTTATGGTTTGTGTTTATCGTATCGTCGTCACCTACAAATTCGACGGCCAACAAATAAATCATGCGGCATAAAGGATACGCTCTTCGGTCGAGCGAGTCTTGAACACAACTTTGGTAGACACTGTGAATGAAGAGAAAATCGTAAAATGAACGAAGAAAGAAGCAAAAGTTCGAGTGACGCCACATACTCAGCACAAACACATACACACACACACACATACGAACCCTCTGACCTGTGATGGTCAACCATTGGTCCGAAAACGTGTGTTTTGCTAAACAGCTACTTACATAATCTATATTTTCGTCGTGGCTTGCATGCGCTACAATACAAAAGGAAAATGGAAAAGTAGCACTTTACATCAAATGGCAGCAAAAGCAGCACCACTGAGTACCTTTTTTTGCTGTTACTTACCTTTTAAAACCGGTCAAAACCTTTTATTTATTTACGTTCTTTTCTCTTCTGACATACATACGAAATATTCCATCCGCACGAACATTTATCATATTTGTAGAAGCAGGAAGAAAAAAAACGAGGGAAAACAATACAAACTCTAAGGAAATAATTTTTCATGCAAATACTGTTTTTGTTTGGTGTGTGATTTTTTTTTTCACGACTTGTTCATTCTCTCGATCTCTTTCTATCGTTTTCGTTGGCTCGCTTTGGAGACCAACAATTTGCTCACACCGAAAGAAGTAAACAAACCGATGGGTAAAATGTGTGACGTTCGCCTTTCGCTCCATTAAATTCTGTGTTATTTTATTTTCTTTTTTTGGGCACATACATACAGGTTTCGGGTGTACTACAAAATACCGGTCAATCGCTCGTGTTTCGCATTGATAAAGATACAAAACAGCATGTTAACATATCCGGTGGCCCATTAGCTTATCGATATCAATTTGAAGAAATTTACATTCACTATGGCATCGAGAACAGCCAAGGATCCGAACACAAAATACACGGCTATCACTTTCCAGGCGAGGTAAGTACTGGCTTTAAGTCGGCCTATTGAATAAAGCTCTCTTTCTCCCCTTGTTTTCCTTCATCATTTTTTTTCATACAGACAATTTAACACTATTCAATGGGATAAAAATTGTATTTATACGACAGTCTCGACCTTTTACCAAAAAAAATAAAGTCTTTTTCTCCTGCCCAACAAATGGCATGCATAAAATGATTCTTCTTCTGGTTCTCTTGTTCAAAATTCATATTTCCATCTTTTTGATCATCAGATTACAAATGAATGCGACCCCAAACTACAACGACACAAACACATAAAAGAAATCAAAATCGATATTTAGATGAGCCTTTTTTTCACATTTCAAACAACTCTCGCCCCATAAAGTGAATCATTGATATGGCCACTACTCTCTATTATATATCACACTTTTCGTCTACCAAATCTACACGTATTTCGATTCACTACATTGCTTGGCTTGATGCACAAGCATGCAGATGGTTTTTATTGTGCCATGAAAAACCACTAGAGACAATGAAAATGCTAAACTGAGGTTAAAGTTAAGCACTCCACTCACTCCAAAAACAAAACGATATACTTCTCCCCAAAGTTCCAATCTATCTATATGACTTTCTTTTTCATCAAGTTGCACCACCGCATTCGTGCTACGCAAATGTAAACATTTGGTGTTGAATAGTTAGTTGGTGCCCAAGGATATCCCTTGAATAGTTTGGATGTCGTAAATATTTTGTCAGAATGTGCAGTGCATGCGGCAGAGAGAGAGAGAATTTCGAGTTTGAGACGACAGAGGAAACCGAAATACCATTGCAGAGATCGATAAATGCTAATCGGAATAGTTGCGCAACAATGTTCACCATAATCGGTCCAACAACCATGTTGAAACCAAAAACATCGATTGATTTATGCAGAGATACATTCACTTCGGGCGCATCGATTTGTTTTTCAACGGATTTTCAATTAAAGCGTCTCTATCGCTTTTCTTCTGATGCTGCACTTTCTCGAACCAATTTTCTTCCAATCCCACTCTAAATGATCCACAAACCAGAAATTCTAATTGAAACGATTTTTTTTCTGTCTTCATTCTCCTCTTTTGCTCGAGCACAGATACAACTGTACGGCTTCAATAAGGAATTATACCATAATATGTCGGAAGCACAGCACAAAAGTCAAGGCATTGTCGGTATATCGGTGATGGTGCAAATAGGCGAAACACCAAATGCAGAACTTAGAATAATCACTAGTACATTTAATAAGGTTTTATATAGAGGTGAGTACGGTTTTTGTTGACTATAATATCCACTATGTGGATGTGGATGTGAATGTGTATGTGTGAAAGTGAATGATGTGTACATGGCATGTGCATTAGATTAGTCAATTTGCATATATTCCGATTTTTGGATACGTACCAATTTGTCGATGTGCAGCAGCGTGTTATCGGAATTCTCAAAGTGACGCTGCTGCACTTCGTACATTGCCACAGACTCGTTCACTCATACGTAGTCTTTATTCAATTATCACGGAACATTAGGTTGGATTGTGCTAGTGTTTGCGTATGTGAGTTTGTATGTATGTAAGTGTGTGTCTGCTTGAGCGGCAAGGTGTGTTCTGAGACATAAAATCAATATTTTTGGTCTCATTCCAACGGACCGGCACCAAACCGACTAACCAATACCAACCGGAATTGATGATGTGCAGCTAAGCAAAAGGCAATAAATTCTAAGTGAATAACATTTAATGCTGATTAAGTAATGTCTATTTGCGTTTAGATCGATTCAAATAAATTCGCCAGCATTTAAGTCCATTCATTGCCTGCGATGCGATTCACGCACAATGCACATTTCCACATATCACTTTTTGAACACGTGTAATTGCAACACAATCAAATAAATTCGTATTTAGACACATAATCTCACTGTAATAATTACATGACCTTTGCATAATCTATCTACTTAGGCACATTCCACGTACCGTTTACATTTGAATTACCACAATTTGGCCAATGTGTCACACCTCACATACGCACACACACCACATCCATAAGGGTATTTTGATGGACAACGAATTGCTTTCTAATTGAACATATTCCAACCATTCACATTGGCCTAATCTGCGTCAATGAAATATTTGAACAAATGACTTTTGAGCGAAACTATCTCGAATGTGTCTTCGTTTTTAGCTAATCATATTTTAAACAAACAAAAATCTAGTTCTAGCTTTTGTGTAGTTCAATGAAGAGTAAACAATGAAAACCTTAGTCGTTGAGTGAAATGTCTGATTTTGCTAAATGTGTATATCTCTCAATACCCGGTCTGTTGATGTGGGTAAAAAAATATGACCAGTTACTGTCGTTCATCACGTCGAAATATTCATTTCCGATTTATTTCAACTACCTAAAATCCGCATAAATTCAAAATTTCCCATTCAACATCTACTCACTATGATAATCATAAGAATCTCGTCGTCACATTCATAACACGAAAACGAACATAAGATGAGACGACATTTTAGATGTATTAAAGTAATATCAATTTCAACAGAAATAGCTTAAAATGTCTTCAATTAGCTCAACCACTAAGCTGGCATATTCAAAGGGGATATTTATGGTCGCTTACCTAGGTAGAACCCGCAATCAGTCTGAAATGTTAATGTAGAAAATACTGCAAGAGTTTGAGGTTTTATTCGAATTCAAAACCAATGGATTACTCTAAAATATCTGATTTGAGACCACAAGTTGCAAGAACTCGTGACCATTGCATGTATAAAAGTGCAAAATCATGATGAATATTCATGTGACGATCTATCATCATCATGATTGTACTGAACAAGTATGAAATCTGTTGAAATGTCATTTATGCCATGATGCAGCGATGAGATGTGTTTCAAACTATTCGCATCAATGTGTAACTTTGTTATATTCGATTCCGTTGAATTCTATTCCAATGTCGTAATCAAAACAGAAGCCGTTGAAATGAGATCCAGTGCATTACCTTGCAATCTTGTAAACAAAACAACCACTGTAACTTCTTTGAACAAAACTGATTATTTTTTAATTTATTTCTTCGGTGGTAATAACATGAATAATTTATAAAACCGTATAATTTCAATATTGTTGAGTTTATTTCCAGCAAAAGTGAAAAAAAACCACAATTCCACGTCATTTCTTAAGGTTGCATTCGATTTTAGTTTGGCAACAAGAAAAAAAAAACCGAAATATGAATCATGTTTTTATTCGCGGAAGCATTTCCGTATGCGTCACTTCATCATGAGAATGTAAAAATTAAATTGCCTGATTATAACTATAGAATTTTGCATTAATTTTCAAGGAATTCAGTTGCGATGCTGCTGTTCGATTCAATTCCTATGGTTTGATTGTGTCCAATGGTTTTTGATTGGTTCTATTGTCATTTTTACTGTCACTGAATCGCACGTCAATATCGTAGTCGAGCCCGTTGTATTTGCCTTGAGCCGGTGATGGCGTTGTTGTTGTTGTTGCCGCTGATGGTTCATCGACACTATCGAAGTCATTGTCGGTTGCAATTGCTCCGGTTCCATTATAATTATTGCCATTATTCTGGTTCGCATCGGTTGATGAGCCGGTGGCATCGGGTGAACCTGTTTTTGTGATTGGAATCATTGTTTAAATCAGCATAGAACATGTGCGTACGTGCGGTGGTAGCGAGCTCTCAAGCTCAAATTGTGTAATAAAATGTCGCAAAATTGTCGCAAATAATGTCATACCTTTCGTTTGATTTGGAGGAATATATGGGTTTTGTGGCTGATTTCCACCGTTGTTCGCATCAATAATGCTTGGCGTGGTCGTCGAACGATGATCAATCAGTGCTGTGTTTGCATCGAGCGGTGACATTGTGTTTGTGTTGAATATTGAATTAGATGTCGGAAGTGGATCCAATGGCAAATTCGATAGAACGAAGCCAAAGTTATTTTGTCCGAAAAATGGCGGAATGTTGCCACCGTTTTGGTTGGGGTTTGCGAAGAAGGGATTTTTTGGATTAAACGGAAAATGCGAATCATGAATAAATGGATTATTCATATTTGGGATGATAGGCATGGAAGTGTCTGTAGAAGATGGCATGGTATTTGAGGTAAATGGGAACGTACCGAAACCATCGCCTGGCTTATGATTGCATTGTGGCGAATGCTGATGATGGCCATGATGATGAGGATGATTACCTTGGTGGAACTGCGGCACAAACGGTGGCGGTGGTCCATACACTGGTGGCGGTGGTCCATAGACTGGTGGCGGTGGCCCGAATCGACCATGTTGACCAAATCCATAGTGACGGCCGAAATTGTGAAAACCGTTCATATCAGTTGTAAAATATCGATGCTTATGAAAACCAGCATTTGCTACTGTTGCAGCAAACATTACTAAAACAACAAAACTCAACATTTTCGAAGCGAAACTAGACTTTTACACTATGAAACACCGACTGCCAAAAGATTACGAATTTTTGCTTTATTTTAAAATCCAGACAGTGTTTTCTTTTTCGTATTCAGTTAATCTCTATCATTCAATGTCAAAATCACAAGCGATTCCTTCTTACAAACTTGGTAGGTAATGATTTCTCTGGCGTCTTAAATTGAACTAATGAGTGTTGCTTGAAATGCAAGCGATGTCAATCACATACGAATGTATAGAAAGAAAAGATGAAATTGAGAATATTGTATGTTGATGTGAGTGACATGCATACAGTAGCAAAGATACCCGTTACGACCGGAATGTTCGGGTGAATGTAGAACAAAGGCACCACAGATCAATACAAACATACAAACACACATACAAACAGAGACGAGAACAGCACGGGCAGAGAGAAAAAGAGAACGATGCGTAATCGTTAAGACGATTGTGAGATGAGTAAGGCGACCAAATCCGAACGAACCAACGAATGAGAGTAAAAAAAAACACGCACATCTGACAACTGAACCCAACAAAGAGCCATCGACACGTAAACGGTCAAACGTCACAACGATGTACAACACCAGAAAAAAAAGAAACACATTAAATACTTTTGCTTGTTCGAAATGCGGTCTGGTGTTGGGTGAGATTAAATATGCCAAATTAAAGCCGATTGTCGAACTTGTTTGAGATGGTTTTTTTTTCTTCTTCGATGCAATCATTGTACACACAGAAGTGCACACAAAACAAACACAGACACCACTATAAACAATCAATCCTTCAGAAATGGAACATCGTTCCAAGGATTAGGTATCATTATCGCAAACCGTTTGGTTTTTTGTACAACATTCTCCGTCATCCGGTCAACAAATACACGCGTAAAAAGGTCAAGGTTTTAGGCGTTTTGATTCTGACTAACGGAGTTGATACGAGAATTTCGTAAATCATACACATAATAAAACACTGATTCAGCAAAAAAAAAATTCCCTCGTGCACACACACCAAGTCGACGCATTGAATTCGATTGGAAAAACAGAATTTTCACATCTGTGGGATTTTCCTTATCTATGGGTTTTTTTGCATATCATTTTGTTTTTAATGATCAACTGCTTTGATTATGATGTTTACACTGTAGTTCCGTATGATGTTTCACTCGCATACGACGCATACTAGTTTCAGTCAATAGGAACAGTTGCGTGCTGATGGTGAGTCAACGCGTTTAAAAAACGTACTGCTTCTTGTGTGACGCGTGCTTCACAAGGTTCATATATGAATGCGTGCACTACGTACGTGCATATGAAGTTTGTACTACAAACACACCGAGAGTGGGAGAAAGAGGGAGAAAGTCATTTTTGTGTTATGAGAGAGAGAAGTAACGTTGTCGCTTTATTTAAATACCTAAACGACTAACATTGATAACCTTTCGTAGCAAGTCATCAATTCTCGGCAATGTTTTGCTTTTAAAAGATTAAATTATCTCTTTTCGCCATGAATTTCAGACTGCACAGTGCACACTGCACACTGATTTCACGTTATAATGCGACTACAGTGTTCGGCTATGAAATTCCGTATTTCAACAAATTCCAACTTTCATTTTCATTCATTATGCCGCTAACTTTGGTCGCAGTGTCAATTTCATTCAAAATAAAAAAGAGTTGCAATCAAAGGCACCCATAACCCTGTCATTCTTTTACTGCAAAAACATTTACATTTTGTTCTCAATTTAAGTTTGTGCGATTTTTTTTTTGTGTATATTTCCATTTAAAATGCACTTTTAATGCAAATCTTGCGACAGTGTTATCCGTAGCAATGTCATTAAAATCAGTTTAAACTCCGTAAATTTAATTTATTTTACAAGAATTTGAGCAAAATAGTATTTAATTCCTTTTTTTTTACTATCTGCACAAGTGCATGAGCGACGTAATCGCTCCCTCGGCATAAAGAAAAAAAGAAACCGACCTCACATTTTATACCATAAGAGAAGCGAACAAAGCGCGAAATAATATTTTTATTACATTAATTCGTATTGTAATTATCAAATTGAAAGGCCAACAGCAGAAATAATAATCGCGGGTTATAAGAGCACGGCGATGGACCAAATTCCCATGCAGAACAATAACAATGGCATACCATGGCACAACAGCACACCACAGTTTGAATGAGTGAAGAAAGAGAGATGGAAAAAACGCTATAATTAAAATTCTCGCTCGCTTTGCCGCTTTGAGAGTACGGAAAATACGCCGTTCAGTGAGATAAATGACACAATAAACGACCGCACGCATGGTTAACACTCAATCACGCTGCGTCCGAATCATCAACGACAATGTGGTACACAGTGAGTGTGTGTGTGTGTGTGTGTGTGTACGTGTGGAGGCGGTGTGCGAATACTATGTTTGGATGGCATCTAATTTCCATCGCTGATGGGCCAATCGTCTTTTTATTTGCACTCAACATTTAGTGTCACTAATTCAACGGTGATTTTGCAATCGAAACTATGACTGGCGCCTATGATTCATATTTTCGATCGAGTAATCGATAAGATCACACAAGTTACTGAAAGTATAATATAAGGCGCTATTTTTTCAATATTGTCGTTGAGTTTTGAAAAAGTATTGGACAATAATTTCAGAAAAATGAAAAAAAAATCGTCAAATTTTTTTATTCCAGTTTTGATCTAGTCCACAAGAAACCTGCCGTGATAATATCTCTGCTTGAAAATATGTCGCAGAAAATGGTAATTTGAGAATCAAATGTGCCGATCTTTCCATTTCAATGATTACATCCGCCAACTTTCTTGCTGCAAATAATTAGTCTGATGGCATCTCATAGATCGTTACCATGCTACTCGCAGATCGTTGTCAACACAACAACAGAAACTCATCTTTATTCCGACAAAAAAGTGTCGATAATCCGAAAAGCGACAGAGAAATGATTTCTTAATTCGTTTTGGCTTTCTTTTGATGCGATCATCAGTGTGCAAAGCACACGAACTGAGTGAGCGTGGGCTGTTCATTCTATAAAAGTACATGCATGCATTTTGTTACGTTACGTGAAGCGGCTAGTTTTGTTTCTTTTTCGCTACATGTTACGTATTTTGCGCACCGTGCCAATTCATTTGGCTCACTTTCGTTTTCTACGCGAAAAAATATCAACGAGTTCAAAGCGTGCGAAAATGGGTGGAATTGCCATTTTTGGACGCTGTGTATTGTCTTTTTCAGTGGCATTTTTTGCAACCTGTGCAAAAATCTGCTTACGTTGCAGTGTTTAGTCTGACACGAGCAACGGTAACGAGCGAATCGTAGCGAATTTTTAATGGTGAAAATTTTAAAACGATTTTTTCTTTTCAAATATCAAGAATCAATGTTAAATTAAGCCTGGAAATGAGGAGGGTAAGTTGGAAAATCGGTGAAAAAAAAAACCAATTTGATGATTGGAGAATAACCAAGAAAATGTGTTCAGTTTTGTCTGTTAATAGTGATATTCGTGCTGAGGTATTCATCGGATGTGAGTGGTTTTCCAGCAATAGATGCAAGCGCTGCTCAACGACAACGATTTGACATATACAAACGACAAAATTCCGAATTCAATCGACTCCAATCGAATGAAATTGATTACAGTGGATTTGATGAGTTGAATGATCAAGCGCCGAATCAATCGGCCGAAATTATAAATCAGTCCGAAAGTCGACTGTTTGGATTTAAAAGAAGGCCATGTGTGCCAGTGTATGCAAATCATGGAAGTAATGGCTATGGTAAACGTGGTCGTGGAGGACGTGGACGAAACGATGGAAGAACTCTGTACGATTTGAATTTCTATTTCCTTGGCTATCAACCCAATCAATACCAGGTGAATCCGGGAACGCAAACCGTTTCAGCGATCGCCGCTGTCGATAACAACAGACCAGTAGTAAGTGATAATCATTACGATCACTACGGCGGATATTATGATTGCGAGCCAAATCCATTCTATCGTCCACCATTTGGGTTCGGTAGCGGAAACGGCGCGCATTACAATGATGATCCGAATAGGCCAAGTTATTTGGGCTCATTGGGTCAAGGTTTGTTTGATTTTATTAATGGACTATTCGGTTATGGTAACCCAAATGCAGGCAGCGGTGGATACGATACGCCAGTTTCTTCTGGCACTGGTGCCGTACTAAATGACGAAAATGCCCAAAAACCTGTCTTCGAAGTCAACGTACCTGATACTATCGCAGCACTGGTAAAAACACCAAACTCATTTGATTCTCAACATTTATTCTTGGTGGATTGGGTTTTTTAATTTCACTTCGAACATTTCTTCTTTTTCCCTCTGTGTGTAGAATCCAAACAACTGGCGACCTGGCCAACTAGTCGGCGGCATACAAAGCAGTGTGAATGGTTTTGTGCAGGAAATATCGCGATACATTCCATTTTAGATTAAAATCCCAAAATTATAGTTTTTATTGTTGAAATTGTTGTATTTATGTAACCATTTATTGTGTGAAGAAGAAAAAAATTATTGAATTCGGTAGATCTTAAAATGAAGTTACTTTCATTTAAATGTGTTAGCTGAATGAAAAGAAGAAGCTGAAAAATATATTACGACATGACCTACAAACCGTGCCGCGTCTGCGATGCGTGGGAGAGTTGGCCAAAAGTGAATCGTGTGCGAATCTCCGCTGTGGCTTGTTAACTTGATTTAATCATATTTCAAACGGTAACCGCATTCCATCGGGGGCATATTGAATTGAGTCAAACATATCAAATGGTAAACTATATCAAGATGATTGGAGAATGAAGGATTTCTTCAGCAAATTAAATGAAAATACTTTCGTTTGGCACTTGTACCGATTCCACATTCAATGGTTGCTCATATTTTTCTCTCTACTCTTTGAAGACAGTGAGCAAAAGTACAGAGAGAAAAAAACCATTCAATCAAAAAGTTCACCCTTCTTTGGTTACACCGTCGAGTGTACATTATACACAGAGCTCTATCAGAGACCGAAAAAGAAGAGTCGCTTTCAGTTCGCGAAGTTCAAAGCGATGGCAAATTTGTTTTCGCCCCGCTTCAAATTGAACACACAAACAAAAATTAGATTTTAAACCGAAGAGCAGAAAGCGGAAACCCAGTGAAACGCGTCGGAATGCTATGATAGGGCTCGCTACTAAATCAAATGTCAAATTGTTTTCATTGGAACAGTAAATTTTTGGCTGACGTGAATAAAAGTTGTATGGAATCGCACGAGCCAAGTGAGCGAGCGAGTGAGAGAGAAAGAGTAAGCAAAAGCAACCGTACACAGTAACCAGAATCAAATTATCTTCAATTACATCATGGAATTGGAATTGGAATTCGAATCCGTTTCCTTGAGTCACACACACACACACACACACACACACACACAATTCAATTTCAGTTGTTATGTTTGCACAACTGCAAATCATCATCCGTCACAACGGGTTTTATGCCAGCTCGGACGGATTCGAACCGGGAACCAAATGCAAACGGAACGAACCAAACGAAAAACCATCACACAAATCTAATTATATTATTGTCGATGGAACTTTATTATGTTATTGTGATACACATCCTCTTTTTGTTGCGTCGCACATTTCCGGTGCTTCGACCACCACCACCGGCAATAACAACAACAACAACCGTGTAATGAGGTCAAAGAATGCGAGGAAAAAAGTCAAAAGTTTATTTAACTTTTTTTTTCCAACAATCGCTATTCCGTCTTCGAAAACATCATTTTAACGACACTGACGGAAGACGGGAAAATAGAGAACGAAAAATAGATCCGTCACAATATTATCTTCATTATTATTGTCAACGTCGTTAAAACATTGTCGATGGCAGAGCGGTTGGCTATCTTTTGATATTTAGGAAGTTAATTAAATTCAAATATTTTTGCTTGTTTTTTTCTGTTTTTATCATTTTTCTTAGTTCAACTCTTACTTCTTACATCGTTCCAATTCGAGAGTTAACATTCTCATGGTAGTCTTCGTATACATTTTTCATTTTGTGGTGAAGAATATCTATATTTTTATATTTTTATATAGAAAAAATTGAAAAGAATAGAGAAAATTTCTAAAGAAATTTATTTCAAAATGTGAAGCAAATTACACAAACTACAACTGCACTCAAGATTCGATCTATTAATTTAGCACATTCTAATATATTCAAAATTCACTCAAATTGCGCTATAGTAAAATTGCGTTGCGTTAAATATCACCACTTCAACAGTGTACAGCCTACAATGTACACTCAAATTAAATGTTATTATGCGTTAATGCAATTTTGAAGTCAACTGGAATGTATCATCATCGTTACGTTTAATAATAAATATTATATCGAAATCGTTGGAAAATGGTAATGAGTCAATGAACCGGGCGCTAAATGAAGAGTATCAAAACTATCAAATGTAAACAGAGATCAACGTGATGTTGCCTGATATTGGATGCCACCTACGAGAAATGTAGTGTCTCAAGTTAACGTTGTGATTACATTGTTCCAACGGTAATATCTCGGTATTTAATCAAGAATCTTGGATGTGCAACACCAAACGAATGCATATATACACAGAAACTAAAATCATTTGTCAACATAGTAAGAGTACTTGGTATATGGGGTTGATTCATTCATTTGGAGCCACTTGAGCATCGAGTGTGTTTTCATTAAGCAATTTCGCTCATTTATGCGTTTGTGTGATGAAACTGTTTATTTTTGGCACCATCATTAAATTCAATTGTCAAAGACCTGTGTCGGGTACGGGCGCATCTGATTGATAAAGTTATCAGGCCATTTTAGCCTCATGATAAATAATTATTATTTGTTGGTTCTATGAATACGTAAAGGTGCAAGTCTCTTTGAAAATGTCATTCTCACGACATTCAACATTCTCAACGGTTCCGGAATCGACCGAAAGTTCCACATCGTATACTTGATTTGGATTCGTAGAGACGATCTCTCAAATGAGGATCCATTGAAAATGTAAATGTTTTCCTTTTGTATTATGAAAAGCGGGCTGTTCATTGTGAATGAGAGCGCGCGGACGGTTTGATGCTCAGAGTCACTCCAAACGTAGTCACACAATGATGAAAACAGCAGATAGAAATCTCTTGCTCCCTCTTCCTCTCCCCAATAGACAAACAGTGTAACACTTCAGCAGTCTCAAATACACACGCTACCGCTTTATTTACATTCTACAATTTTAGTTGGTTTTGTTTGTGTTTTTTCTCTCTTTTCCCCCTCTCTTTGATTCCCGTTCGAAGCGCGAATAAGCCGTGCAACTGAAAATTATTTGATGCGGTTTATTCCAACGAGTTATGTACGTGATTTTCATCGTCGTTCATAAATTCTATGAATTTAATAACGGTAATTCGTAAGTTATGACTCGTTATACTGATGACAAGTAATTAAAAACGCACACACCAACGCCTGCCTGCCTTTCGTTTGATGGAAAATGTGGTTACATTTTCGTTTTGGTAGAAGATTCTTTGTTGCGGCATGGTATTTTTTTTCCATTGGTGAATCGAGATATTTTTTTTATTTAAAAAAAAGAGATGATTTTAATGGGAACCGTGTGAACACGGTAAAATTGTATCAATTCACACAAGAACAAAGTGATTTTTTTTTAATTCCATCGAGGATGGGAACAAGAATTACGGCTTAATAAAAACCGAAGCTGCGGGAAAACAGGTATTGAATTTTGATCTGGCTGTTCCGCTCAAACGATGCTGCACGCTTTGAGCAGATTTCACAAAAGCCGATTGAATAATGACGAGATGTCATTCTGTAAAAGGTGAATTCATTCCACAAAAAGGTGAAATTCAAATAAATTTTTTCCGCATAAAAGAGAAACTATTACTGCGACGGTGTATAAAGCGATAGACACTACTAATCAAAAGCCGTGAATGTTTTCAAGGCAAAAACAAACAAACACAAGATTTTGCTGAAGTCAATGAAATGCTTTTGTGCAGAATTCATGTGCACGAGTTGATGATGATGATGGTGGTAGCAGCGGTAGAGAAGTCGGTGGTGGCAAAGTTGAAAATTAGCAAAATTATGCGAAGCAAATGTGCATGCTCACGTCAATTCGGCTGGATTATTTAGCTAACCTGCGACACAGATAATAGGGGGGCTTTATGCATTGTAACATATGGGCAATGCTTTGTATGTGAACGTTTTTTTTCTCTCTCTCTCCCGCTCTCTCCATTCTCTTGACCACGATTATTTGTATTTGCTAATGGTAAGTGTTGTTGTGCATCGAAAGTGGATAAATGAGATGCGAACGAGCAGCACATACACATGCCCACCGTTTTGAAATCGCATCCGCAAATCATGACCAATTTTTCGATTTTGGACGTTTCGGCTATGACACCGTACCCATATGTGTATATTCACCGGGCAAAGGGAGAGGCTGGTCGAACAGTTGCAGTTACAACAACACATGGATGGTGTTACTGCCACATGACATTGAATAAATTGGCAAATGAATATTAATACCGTGTAATTTATAATGATAGCGTCAGCGCGGGTGAACAATGTGTAGCATAAGTGAGAATTGGGTTGTGTATGCCACATTTTCTCTCAACCGTTGCACCATGCACATACACACACACACACACACACTCTCGTAGCCGACGCTTGTGTTCACAGTCGGATGTGTTTCGATATGCAAAATAAATAATTGTAATTGGTTTCGAACGACAATGTTTGCACATCATATACACACACACTACTCGACAGATATAGCTCTTCGATTCGCACCGCAACTCATTCGAGCTGACAATTAATTTGGGAGCTCGTTTAACGATTTATATTCTTTGTTGACATTTCTCCAATTTATCTTTTGCATAAAATGCAAACGGAAAGCGAATCCGAATAATTAATGAATTTCGACAGTGCATTAAGTCTGATCGATTATTATTCAAACTAGCAAAAATGGAATCGCACACACACACACACACCCAGTGTGATCTTTGCGACAGCAAAAAGCATCATGAATCAAAAATCACGCCAATAAAAGAGGCACACTGCACACTGTCAAAACTTCCGTTTCACCAGCAAATCGGGATTCGCTTTCTTTGGCAAATCGCTGTTCGATACACATTTTATTGTCTTTCCGCCAAATAAGTAAGCAATTTCTATGCGTACGAAGAGAAACGTCGGAATTTAGCATTAACAGCTCATATTTGACGCTTAAGTACTGTTTGATAATGACTTTCGTATGGAAATATGATGAACGTCAAAACAAACTACGAAAACTTAAAACCTTGACTGACACTCTGCCGTTCTGTGCTCCCTTTTTCGCATGCTTTGGCTTACTTGCAACTTCAATTTTCTTAAACCAAAGTAATTTTTTTTGTTACTTCTCTTTTCGTTTACTCTCCCACTTTTACATTTGCACTCTTTCACTGTCGCCCTCACTCTCCGCTTTGGTGCTCTGTTCTTTACGCTGTGTTTTATTGCAGTTGCACAACTTTGCAGTGTATTCAAATAACTTTATTGCACCCTTGTTAGTGATATTGTGATATTCTATTTTGCCTCACTCTGCTATGTTCTCTGCTGGGCTGGTGATGTGTCGTGTGACAAGTCGTTATGTTCATACTGCTGCCGTCATCGAAAGCGTTGTCGTTCTCGTCGCTTCCTCTCTCGCTCACTCTCTATCACTCAAACCATATCACGCTCACTTTATTTACCGTCTGATTTTCCACAAAAGCACAAGCCAAACTTTCCATTTTCATGCATGCTGGAGATATTTACTCGGTTTTGAAAAAGTTCTTTCCTCTATCGTTTAGTCAAATGTGTTCTTCTGTTTGCAACAATTTCAATGCAACGAAGTGACAAGGCAGCACACACAACCATTTGGAATGGTATATTATTGCACAAAACGGCAACATAAAATTGTCGGTTTCGCTCATTCGTTCGTTCGTTCATTCGTTTGGTGGCTGTTTTATAATTTCGAATGCAGAGAGAGAGAGAGAGAGAGAGAGAGAGAGAGAGAGAGAGAGAGAGAGAGAGAGAGAGAAACGTAAATTTGTAAAATTCACATGTGAATTCCAACTTTACCGAAGAAGACCGAAAGCGCATGTAACAAAATCAATTTCGGCAGTAGCGACAGCAGTAGCACTGAACGAACTGAATGAATACCAACCCGAAAAATAGAAGAAGCCGAATATTCATGGAATTGTTTACCACTCGAGATCCACACCGAAAATCCCCGAAATATTATTTAGAAGTGTAGCAAGCGTTGTGCGCTTTTGCTACTGCCATTTGCTGCATCCATCTTTTAAGCCGACACTTTAACATCGACGACAATTCGTACAGACAAGAAAGACAATTGTCGTTCATTGTATCACCTCGAACCGTAGATAGAACCAAAATGAACCACACAATAAAAGTGAGCAGCACCAGCAGCAAAAGAAGAAATGCAGACATGCACCCGAATAGCGACAATATTTTATTGTTTTCATTCATGTTGAATCGTTGTCTTCTTGTTTGTCCGTACACGATCTGTGTAATTTTCGGAAAATATTCCAGCACCGATAGCAAAGGAAAGCTCATTTGTGTTTGTGTGTAACGCGTCCAATTCATGCGGCGAAGTAAAAGAGAGAAAGAGAAGGGAACGATCGCAAATACTCACCATTCAGCACCAGCATTTAATGTGACAGTTGTGCTAAATTGAGAATTTTGTTTCGAGACGTGATAGCGGTTTACTGGTTAGTCTTCGTTTTTTTTTGCATGGCATTACCACCGAAATACAGTTAATATGTGCAAAATGTGCCCGTTGGATTTTCAACAACCTCTTCCCATTCAGACGATACAATTCCATTGGTATTTTTCACTCTCACTTCATGAAATTTTTGTTTGAAAACAACTTTTACACAACTAACCAGAAACGACTCACTTTCATACGGCATTGCATGAATGCAATACGCCAACTCTGAGGCTAAATTTTAAACACTGCAATGAATACGAGATCTTCTGGGAAATAAAACACACAACATTATTGGCTAAGAGCAAAAAAAGCAAATTGTAAAGGCATACATTTTATTCCAATACTTATGATATACAGTTCATATTTCGATTATACTATTTGAAATGATTAATCAATATGTTTGTTTTATTGACATTTTTCACATTGATGAATTCTAAAATATCATTTCAAGTCACTAGACTACTACACTTCAAAAAAAAAATCTTCCGAAAAATCTTTTTCTTCCATATTAAAGGCTACTTAGTAAGTATTATTCGATAGATTTTCGTCAAAATGTAAACTAGGCGTTAAATGAAAAAAAAAATAGATTGAAAATTACGCCACCAATATTGGAAATAAACTAGATAAATAATGGATGATAAAATCTTAAAAATAGTTTCTTCGACCGATCGAATTGTAAAATGTCTGAAACAAATATTGTGTATTTTCATTGACGCAATGGTCAGTTTCATTTTAGATTAACAGCAAAAAGGCAAAAACAAACTGTTTTGTGCAATATTACTGATATTATTAATATAAACGACAAACAGATAAAATATCAGGAAATAATGAAATAAAAAAAATCTAATAAGAAGATGTAGAACAATGCTCTTCCTCTTCATTTCCATGTTTCAACAAATTCCTAAAACCTTCTTTAACCATTTTAAAAGCTGATGCAACTGAATCTTTTTTCAATTCGTTCATGAACTCATTCAAAACCGATTCCTGAACTTTATTCTTCATCTTAGATGCCAATCTACGTATTCTTTCACTACCTTCTCGTTATGGAATGAATTTGGTGGCACTGGTCGCTCCATATTTTTACTATTACCGCCATCTTCGCCATTTTGACCAGATTTAGTTAAATTGTTCGGTCCTTTTGATAAAATGTTCGAAAAAAAATTGAGAAAATACAAAACATGTATATATTCAGCTTCAACAACGTCATTTTCTGCAGGGCTTCCGCCATTCCCACCTTTTCCGGCACATCCACAGTGACCTATATTTTCCAAATGAGCAAAAAAATGAAATTAGCTCAACTTGTTTAGTTGTTAGACAAGTAACATAAATTACTTGTTTAGTTTTCAAATTTTAATTTTATCAGTACACAGTGTACTACACACCTGGCTCTTGTGAAATCGAAAAATTCGGTTCCCTATCGAAAAAGAGAATCTTGTATTTTCCAGCATTGCTTCCATAGCCCCCGTGGCCGCCTTTTCCTCCATCTCCTGGTTCTGTGCCAGTTTTTCCAACAACATCATAGCTGTGTTTGCCGAAAATCCCAAAATCAAAGCGAATTTTTCTATCGTTTTGGTATTTATTTCCCCATGGGTTCACCATGAAAAACGATGGCGTTGGTGCTGGTTCTCCTTTAATTCCATCCGCGCCTGCAAACATAAATTCAGAGATGATTAACAGTAATTGTAAATAACAATCATTAAAATAATAAATCATTTGATTATAATCAAAAGTCTATGGTACAATTAGAATGTGGGAAATGCGGTAACACACAGAGCGAAAAAAAATGGAATCGAAAATCTACACAAACCTTTTGCTCCAGCTTGACCTGGGCCACCTTTTCCACCATTCAAATAAATTTTCAAATTTTTGTCACAGAAGCACTTCTTTCCGATACCAAAGAAATTACCAGCCGCACCTCCTGGTCTTCCTGGTATTCCATCTTTGCTTGTTTCTGCCGGTGATTCTAAATACGGTTCTCCATCTTTGCCATTCAAGTTGATTTGACGATCACCGATGATGAACCACTTCAGTGCGATAAGCGAAACTTGTGCATCTTGGCCAGTTTTGATGATATCAACATCAATAAACAAATTATTCAGTGCGAAAACTTCAATGTGAATTTTGGGCAGATTCATCTCGATCACGTCGCTAATTTTAACATTGTAACCTTTAATCACAAGTTTATCCACTTGTGTACAATCGATTTCAAGACGGGTTTTCAATGTCTGTTCTAAAACCAGCTTCAGTGCATTCAGTTTGTAGGGGTTCAAACGAATATTGTCCAGAGCATTGTATTGTACCTTACATCCAACATCTCTTGCAAAATGTTTCAATTCGATGTCATCGATCTTCCAAAACGGGCGTGTTTGAGTCTCGCAACACTTTATTATTTCATTACTGCGCGGCATATATTCGGTTTTATGTTTTTGTACATCATATGCCGACAAATTGTCGTGCAACGCGATTAGGAAATTATACCAACTATACGACTTTTCAAGGTAGTCCTTTAAATCTTTCAACCCATCCGAAACATGGAATGAATACGACAAATCAATATTGCTGACGGACTGCAGGAACTCAAAGAGTTTAATATGGTTTGCATATTTACGTTTGCATTCGGTCGATAAGTTGATGTTTAGTTTCGCCGCCATTTCCTCAAATTCTTTTCCGAACTTCTTCAACTCATGATGACTGATTTGTAGTAGTTTCTTTCGAGCATCTGATAATTTGCCTAACAACACATTTATATCAACAGTAGTAGTATTTTCCAGTCCCAAGTAGAATTGTTTGGTTTCATAGCCGAGACGCTTTATATCAACGTTCAAGTGGCATTGCATATCTTCCATCAATTCATGGATTTTATTTTCAACTTTTTGATGTTTCGCCGTTCATCTTGAAGTATCTCCATACTTGTCACCGGCCCAGCTTTATTTGCAAGACGAAGAATGGCGATCCTTTCGAATTGGCCTTGACTGTTTTGCTTCAATAAAATATCAAGAAATTGGATTTTTCTTCCGTTCAACTCTTTCTCTTCTGGCGGCAATGAAACTTCGCTATTTCTTTTGCTCAAATCCGCTTTCACTTGTGCAAGAAAAATTACAATTGTTTCGATTATTTTTGCATCGTCCACTAGTTGAAGTTGACCATTTTTGTCTTCATAACGATTCTCAACCTTTGTAACGATCAATGCAATGCCATCTTTGTATTTATCAATGTTTTTAATGAAAACCGTCGCATGTTTTGCCAAATCTAAGAAATCATGTCGTTCACCGACACCATTTTGAACCGATGAATATCTAATTGCAAACACAAATTTCACTTCACTGGCTCTTTCGATCAATTGTCGAGTGAAATAAGACACCGAAATATCATTTGCAACACCTCGTGAATCATTGAAGCCCGGACAATCATAATAGTGTGTGCCAGTGGTTTCGTGAACCATCAAATTTGGACACATTGTTTCGGATACTGTTGTGGATATGCCGCTGATTAAATGCCTTTCATCGGTAATCATGTATTCGCCGGAATCTTCTACAGTTGGTATTGAATTTAGTTCGAACTTTGTTATAAGGGAAACGAGCGTTGTTTTACCGGCACCGGTATTTCCCAACACGAGCACAATTTTCTTTTTTTCACACATTTTAATTTTTTTGACATTCGATTTGACAAATGCCAAAATTTGCGCCACTGCATTTTGTTCTGAATCATATGCTAGTGGTTCGGATGCCAGCTCTAGATTTTCGTTTGATTTGCCACCCATTGTGGGACGATTAACGAATAGTCAAAATTATTTTACAAAGAACACTTTAACTTTCACTTTTTTCGATGAATGTTTCTGCGGTATGCCAAGCGACCAACTCAACTCAACTCGTCGACGATCGATACAAGACTGATGTATACAGAGCAATCTCTGGATATTTTTCAGATCAAACTTGGCAGGCAAATGCTGACATCCAAAAAGTGTGTACGACAAGGAGACCGAATAATACCGATGTGGGCATTTTTCGTAAAAGTCGTCTGAATTTAATACCCAGAATCATATGAAAAGAAAATAAACAGTTGACGCGTTTTATCTGTAAATAATGCTTTCAAATAATTCGACTGTGCACAATCAGCAAAAGTGTTATGAGATGTGTTCGCGAGACCAACAGAATAAAATGTGTACACATAAGTTTTTTTTAAAACACTTTTGAAATTTATTCAATGTTTCTATCATACTAAAACCACATAAAACGTCTAGATTATTTCCTTTAAAGTATATACGAATGCAAACAGTAGGAAACACTGAGAGTGAATTTCGATTTCATTTCTGTGTTTTTCTTTTGCTTTGCTAATTATTTGCCTCATAATTGATAGCATTTGGATTAAAGATAAACACTAAACACTATCTCGACTAAAAATAAAGCAACATTCGCTGAATTCAACTTAAAATGTATCACACTGCATCAAATAATGCTGTTATACAATTCTTATAGGATAGCACACTTAGCGTTTCCTACACACTTCCATGTAATCATTTGTTAATTAGTTGTTTTTTTTTTTTTTTTTTTTATCGCAGCTTTCCTTTCGTTCATATAATGTCGCTTGCGTTCAATATTATGATGGTTTATGCATCATTTCCTTCTTGCTGCAAGAAAGGAGAAGCAAATGAAAAAATCGAAAACAAAAACAAAAACAAAACAATTGTATACAAACCGTTTCAAGGTAGTGTAAAGTGTGTGTTAGTCCATTGGAGATGTGAAATGAGTCGGAGAATTTGATTTTGCTAATGATTCTTAGAAAATCGACGGATTCAACGTCACGCTTTAATCGGTTCAAGTTTTCGGTCGATATTTTAATGTTCAAATCGTGCAGTGCGTTAGTTAGTTGACTAGCAAACGATTTGAGTTTCGTATTTTTCAGTTGTGATAACACTCGATGTGCGTTTCGCTTTAACATTTCTATATTTGAAGTGTGTTTCGCTTGCTGTGAATAAAATTGCTGAATCTCTTCACCAATGATGGAAACATCGTCAGTCAGTCGTTTCTGCATTTCAATTATTATTCCATGAATTTGACTTTTTGTCTGGTCTGAGATTGCATATCCAAAGTCATCATTTTTCTTTTCCACGTATCGAAGATTGCGATCAATCATCGATATGATTTGTTTTCTTTCATTTTGCAGCATTGATATATTCGAAACCGATCCAGCTTGATTGGCGAGACGAAGAATTCCAATTCGTGTATATTTATTTAGTCTATTCGTTTGCAATAACGTTTCGATGAATTTGACTTTGTTATTGTTCAACTCTCTTTCTGCCGCTGAAACATTGTCACCGTGTTTATTCTCCAAATCAATTTTCACTTGTTTTAAAAACAATGCAATTGTTGCGATCATCTTATCGTCATCGACTAAACGAAGTGTTTCGTTTTTGATTACGTAACGATTATCCACTTTTGTGACAATCAAAGCAATTCCATTTCGGTACTTTTGTATGTCCTTGACAAAAGTCATTGCATGATTCATTAATTCCATAAAATCACGTCGATCGCCGCCGTTTCGGACTGATGAAAAACTTACAACGAACACAAGTTTCACTGCGTCAGCGCTGTTTATCAATTGTTTAATCAAATGACTAACAGAAATATCATTGGTAACACCTCGTGAATCGCTAAAGCCGGGACAATCGTATAATGTTAAGCCATTGGTTTCATCAATCATCAGGTTTGGTACAACGGTTTTTGACGTTGTTGTGGATTTTTGACTTATCAACTCATTTTCGTCCATCAGCACAAATTCACCCGAATCCTTTAGCGTTTCAATTGATTCTAGTTTTGAGCCAGTTAAAAATGAAGTTAAAGAACTTTTGCCGGCACCAGTGTTTCCCAGCATTAAAATGATATCTTTTTGTCGCGGAAATTTTATTTTTGCTGAGTTTTCTTGCAAAAACTCTAAAATTGATGTCGATGGATTCTGTATAAATATGCTCGACGAAGCATTTTGAGCACTATCCACTGATTTTGATTGCTTATTCAATACGATCGGACTTGCGCGAGATATAGTTATCACTGACAACACAAATAAACACAAACGCAGTGTTTGAACACATTTCATTTTGAAATTGTAACTCTTTTTTCAAATGAAAAGTAAAATAAAATAACTCCTTGATTTTTGTTGGATGTTTCTGAAATAACTTTCGCTGGGAATTTTTCTAAATTTGGCGTCTTTAACGGTCAACTGATTTTGTACGAATGAACGAGATATCACCTATATCATTATATCGTGACGCCTAGGGGAATATCACGCTTAAATTATTCCAAATATTTCAAAAAAATCCAATTTATCTCTAAGAATCTGTCGTATGAAATATGGTGGATATTTGTGAATATGGCGGAATATTGTGAATTTTTGTGATTATGAATGATATTTAAATGTATTTATTTGGATTTAATGCAAAAAATCTCAAATATCTCAAATATCTCACAAGATTCAGGAGTGTGATATTCCCCTAGCGTGACGCGAAACGTGTTTTAAATAAAAATATATAATTAGTATCGAATTAATTTTGTTAAATGAAAAATGTTTGACTGTTTTGTGTGGTATTGATTCAATACTACCGAATGACTGAACTATAAATAGACATAAACTTCATCGGACTTTGGATGACATTTATTTGTTTGAATTTTGTGCAGGTTCTTCCACGCCGATTCGACACATCTCGTTGCGCTCATTGATTCCAAACACCGATGCATACATGACGTATGAAGGATCTACTACGCATCCCGGCTGCTGGGAGAGCACTGTTTGGATTATTCTGAACAAACCGATTTATATAACAAAACAAGAAGTAAGTTTAAAATCGTCGATTTTTTTTGAATAAGTTTTGTTTTTGAACAAAATATTTGCTTTGTTTCGAATTAAATGCTTTGGTTTTGGAAATGCCAGTTTTTTTGTATCATATCAATAACAATGTTATATTTAACAACCAAAACATGGGTGTGACACATTAACTTTCGTTGTACAATCGTTAAAAAACGTGAAGAACATTCAAGTTTCAGTTTTTGTAAAATCTAATGAAAAAAACACTCGTTTCATTTCAGTTATATGCGTTACGAAGGCTGATGCAAGGGTCAGAGCAGACTCCAAAGGCGCCACTCGGTAATAATGCACGACCGGTTCAAAACCTCCACCATCGCACAGTGCGAACAAACATCGATTTCAAGCAATCAAAGGTATGTAGGGAAAAAAAACTCCGTGTAATCTCGTTAAATGTGATCTCTCTTGTGACACTCGAATCAATGTCGCCAATCACACGGTTCTATGAGTGTGCAAGCGCATAAAACTGCATTCACTTATTACGATCGACAAAAGATGATTTAAATTGAATTGAAGTGAAGACAATTTACATTTCGACTACAATTTATGTCTTCTTAGCAAATCGATACGTTTGTCGTAAGTCGATGAGCAAAAGTGTCGTATAAAATCATCGGTGCTCAACCGTTCTTTTTTTTGCTCGTTCTGTTCAAGCCATAAAATCGATTTACATCTTGTTCCATAGTAAAAAAAAATTGCCAGCTTTGTTTTTGTGCCGTCAAGAAGAAATCATGTCTTTATCTGTCTCTTGAGCATTTGTTGCGATTTGCACACTCAGCAAACTATAGCCGAGATGGCACAGCAATTCAATCGATTAACAGTCGTTTTTTATCCTTTCATTCGGAACGGAAAACCGAATTGAAAATGAATCTCGATGATAATTTTGTCGCCAGTTTGTGAATTCAATATTAAAAACTATCGCAGAACAAAAGCTGAAGAGTGTTTTTTCGGGGTGAAGAGTCAGAGCCGAACCAATGTCCGATAGAATCGAGAGCGAGACCTGAATGCACAATATGAGTGCTCGAAATAGTTTATACGGCAATAAGTGGTTATTCGAATGCTATTGAACTTATTGCGCGCAGCAGCAGCAGCAGCAGCAGGTGCGCCAAGTAATGACCAAAAGCAAGTAGTAGTTGCAGTGAAACTGAGGAAAAATGAAGCCAGTGCAATTTTATGCACCATTTCAGCATATTTTGCATAACATCAGCACGTTAAATGCTCATGGCAATGCGACCGTGGAAAATCGACTGAAAGAGAGATAAAAAATGTGGGTTGCATCGTGAACGAAGCATTTGCATGATTAAATGCTATATCACTCCAAGTGTTTTTCACTTCTTTCGCTCAATCGCTTCGGTTTTTCGCGAACATCACAATCTTTTATTGCTGTTTCAAGTTATTTTCCTGCAGATTCACGTCTAGCGGTGTGGTGATGTGTCTGTCAGTCAGTCAGCAATAGAGACAAAGATTTGTTTAAAAGTGAGGAAAAAGTAATCGTTTAATTTTTAGTCGAAATCCGTCGAAATCGTAACGAAAATCCGAAACCTTAACGGATATTCTTTAATAAACTTGCAATGTGTTTACTTTCGATATACATCTCCCTTCTCCGACGAACCGCAATCTATATTCCGAAAAGTATTAATGCCGAGGGTAACGCGTGAATCTCGCGATACACGGTTTCTTTTTCAATGCAACTTTTCGATCCGGCTTATTGAAACCCTTATAATGTATCGAGCATTTCCTTTCGTTTCATTTTTTTTCTTTTTTTCGCCTCATCCCAGGCAGAAAAATTGAATTTATGTTGCGACTTCCGAACCTTCTGCAACCAATATAAATGTTTCACGTCAGAAAAAATTATGTTTGGAGTGTTTGGATTTCGTTTCTTCTCTCACGGATTACGTTCACTGTGAGTCGGTGTTTAATTTCGTCGACTTTTTGAATGAATTGATAAACCGACGAAGGAAACGAAAAAAATAAATAAAGAGAAAGTTGCGACTGGAAAAATTCGATTTTAATATTCCCCAGTTGGGAGCGTCAAAAGAGATTAAATCCAGTAGTGTTGAAATATTTCAATGATATAGCCCAAAAATGAAAATAAACACACGAAAATCCGGTGCACAATTCAACGAAAAACCAAAGTGTGAATATTGTTGACTTTCTCGCAGTGCTCGGCTTATGAGCGGAAGAGCATGAGCGAGAGTGAGAGAAGGAAAATCGAAATAAACTTGAGCGAAAACTTAATCTGTCTTTATTGCCATGCAGTGCACACGCCAAAAAGTGATTGTGCTTGTCACTGGGGAAGTTCATTTGATGTTGTTCTTTTTTTTCTGCTGTCCGCTGTCGATTGCTTGCGCGCACAGACACATTATTGTGGAGTGTGTGTCGGTGAGAGTAAAATAATAAGCGACAACTTGAAGTGTTTATGAGATTTGGCCGCAATGAGAACGAACTTGAAGTGTCGACTGGAGAGAGAGAGAGAGAGAGAGAGAGAGAGAGAGAGCGAAAGAGCTAGAGAAAGAGGAAGAATTAAGTACTTAGCTCGCAAGATTTCATCACAAAATCATAAAAAGCCAAGCTTATCGCTACATTAAGCTTCTCAAACTTGCTCTTTCATGGCATTATTTTCCAAGCAGTCACACCAATAACTATATTATGCGAAATAAACAGATCCAAACGATGTTTATTTTTCCTCCTTGTGAATGATATGCTTTTTCTCTTCTTTTTATTTCCAGACACAAAACTGCCCCACAATGTACAAAGATATGTTCTACAAGGCGAACAAATGGACAGTGGATACGCCGATGACGATGCGAACCGGTCGCGATCGAAATATGGCCGATATAGATGCCGTTTTTTCATCCGTTTACAAAACCTAAGCTCAGCAACAGCGACAGTCTTATCGACAAAATCGACGCAAAATTATGATGAAATTTCTCTAGAGACTTTTAACAAAACAATAGGATAACATTTAAATGAATTTCATGCAATGAAACGAGTTTGACGTCAAAATAAAACAGAATGAGATATTTAGAAAGCCTAAAATTCAACCAAAGGTTAAGCTAAAGAAACATGTAAAACTTTCTTTGAAATTTTAAAAATAAATGACTAAAACATCGACCAAAAAGTGTTTATTGTGTGTCACGCTTATCGAAAACTAAGGAATAAAAAAAACACCCATCACAAGAATTAACAACTGGTTTGTTATAACACTTTAGTCCCAAATTCGTCGACGAGAGTATACCAACCAACCAGCAAACAAATAATTAAATCATAATAATCGAACAGCATACAAATTGAAATTTGCCGAAGCGTAATGACAAAATAAAACGAAAACAATGTGTATTTTGTATACGTTGAAAAGCACGCGGTATACTCATTTTGCGCTGTCGGTGGCCGTGCAATACTCGCGCATCCGCTTAGAGGAAATGCATTAAAAGAATTTAAGTGCGATTGATTTATTTATAAGTGATAAATGTATCCCATTATTACATTATACTGTTGTGAGTGTGTGTATCGTGCAAAGCGGTGTAAAGCAAATTAATGTGCATTTTGTATGCAAACTAAATCAATATATATAAACACACCGGCAAACGTACATTAACATGACTGAATGTGAAAGCGACCGACCGACCGATTTTAATTCCAACATTTTAGTGTGCAAATGTTTTAAGAATCCATTTAATCCACGATCTATATACAAAAAATAGAATGTGTAAAATGGCTTTAGTGACACACGGCTCTATTTGTGGTGTCCGAATAAATATTTCATCCAAATGCCACAAACCTCCCCCCTCTAAAACATTATTTGCTAATGTTAATAATTTGCTCTTAGGAAAATTAGCGGAACAAATGTTCCGATTGATCGGAACTTGAATGGATTTATCGGCATTTCTAGTACAAAGTAATTCCAATAAATCGGTAGATTGTTTCGAAACGGAATAAAAGTTCCGTTAGTTTTTCTAAGATTGGCAACAAAATTATTGCAAAAAAACCTTCCCGAATTCCATGATCGAATAAACCAACCGATAGAATACTTGAGCAGACAATAAGATTCAAAGCTTTTCGTTTTTTAAGTCATAACCAATCCAGTACTAAAATCAAAGCACTCACTTGCCAAGCATTTACTATGAAATTTTCGAAGCGTATTTTCCCGACTCAAAATGTCTGCAATAATTCAATTTATGCCATTTTTTCGTTTTAAACTCTAACTTCTCTCTCAATCGATTAAATTTGTGCAGTTTTCGCATCTCGAAATACAAATCAAAACTTTTTGTAAATTGCAGAGACTGAAATTAAATAAACGCAGAAGAAAAACAATAAAAACAAAATAGGAATGCATTGAATTATGGAATAGTTTTGTTTGAATAATGAAATAACTGTACTGGAGCGTGAGCGCGCCTTCCATTTCTCTTTTTCGACGGAAATGCATTTGAAAATAATTCCATTTTCAACCATGTCTGGAGACTAATTTATTATTCTGAAACCATGTCAACTTCAATAGGTTTGTGTCCTGAGTTTTGGTTTCGCTGTTCTTGAACAATAATTCATTTTCAGTCGAAAAAGCGACCGTGTTCATAAAAAATGCGGCTTTTTAAGAATAACCACCAAAATAAACTGTCCAAACGAGATAGATTAAGTGTTAAAACCAAACATGGAATTAACGCAAAAAGTTGACAAAACGATTCGATGCCAAGTTTGATGTTTTGCGTGAATGACGAATAGCATTTAGAATTTCAATGGATATAATAATACTTTGTACATAATTATAAATAATAAACCCAAAACATATTGATTTAGTAGCTAGTGTCTACATTACAAAGGAAAACCAAACATAAACAATTAAATGATAAGAAATGGTGTAAAGATTTAGGCAACTTATGGCTAAACAAAGCAGCTAATTAAGATAATACAAGCGTAAATGTTATGATTTTTATGTCAATTCCCAGCGTCACATAGTCCCAAGTTGCAAGGCGAACGGATTAGGAACAAATGAATGAATTGGTGCATAGCAAAAATACTTAAATTATTATCGGTCAAATTTTAGTTTTAAACATTTAGTCTAATTTGTGAAGCAAATTTAAAGGAAAAAAATATACTGAAAAACACATACACATATGAAACAACTAGAAGCGTGTGTGTATATGTATGTATTAGAAAAAGACGATATTGTATCCAAAATTACATTTATTGTTATTTAGTTATAACAACAACCAAAACAAAAGGAAAAAAATGAATAAATCGTTTTAAGGCAAAAAAAAATGGAATATGAAAATTAAGAGAGAAAATGAATGAAAAAAAATAAACGCGAACAACAGCAATAAATTACCGAATTTTGTTCAGTGATTCATTTGTATAAAGGATTTCGAGGTGGTGCGGCGACGGCGCCTCTGCACGCCGAACGTAAGTAACTCAATCTCAAATCAACGGTCAAAGGTGAAATGATCGATAGGTAATTAAGTGACATTTATTTTCACAGGGAGAGAAAGCGCGCGCCTATAATTAAATGCTCTAATGCACAACTGGCACGATGGTGGTGGTGTCCCATGCGTACGTCGTACTCATTTATTTTCAAATATTTCCTTTGTGAATATATCGAGCGGTGTGACACAATGAAAACGATGAAAATCTCCGGACGGGTTGGATTAATCAACATTGTCAGCCTTTCAACCACATATTTTTCGGAATATGGAAACAAATCATCCCGTCGGGAATTGGCCATACGATGATATTATTTACCATGATTTATTGCTTTAAATTTATTCTACTTTCGTCTGCGGTTACCTCTTGAATTATTGCTGTCCTCGAAAGTGGTGGCCAACCAGCCAGGCAACCAAACCAGTTCGGTTCGGAAGCAATGGCACTTTAGTTAGCGCTTCATTTTTGCAAGCTACCATATCATTTACACTAGCATTTACATTTGGCTTATGAAAATACACATATTTTTCCTGAGCTCCACATTAATGATGAGCACACAATGAAATTCGTGTTCATTTATTGAATTTTCGGTCCGGGTTTTTGGTTTCACAATCAAAAGATTGCGTTGTTTTCATAGAATTACAAGCATTTTCCGCAGCCAATTGATTTTACGGTCGAATAATTTATGGGAAATCGATGAAAGTCGAACCGTTTGATGTTCGAGTTCGAACATTCGGGGAAAAAACCACACCTGCTGGGGAACAATAGTCGAGAGTTTATTAGACGCACAAGTCTATATTGAAAATTATGGAGGCTTAGTAATGAAAATGAAATGAAGCCGAACCCATTATTGCCACGAAAATGCCAAATATTTCATCGGTATTACGAGTGCCATAGTTAACAATAGTGTTAGCTAGAGTGGCAGCAGCAGCAGCAGCTTGCAAATTAAAGTAACCACATTCGAATGTGAAGTGAATTCGTCATCGATGTGTATGAAAATATGCCGATAGCAATTGATTTCCACGACGATGATGACGACAACGACGAAACCGAACAATGGGACTGGAATACAAAGGCCAAAAACTAAATATATCAATATATTCGTATCTAGCGGCAAATGAAAATTGAATATTATCACCCAGAAAAATGTGATTTTTCTATTCAATATCTCTATAGTGTGTGTGTGTGTGTGTGTGTGTGTGTGATGTTGGTATCATCACGATCAATCTAAATGAAGTGTCAAATTAAAATAAGTGAGTTTTCCACTTTCTTGCTTGTTCCCAAGCAAAAATCTCATTGTCAATTCCCACAGTTCACGTTCATCAATACGAACAATTGTCTCTCCCTCACTCAATCTACGTACTATATCACCCCACTTAATCAACTCTATCGATGTTTCGGATGGAAAACGTCGAGTAGTGGAATAGAAATTGAACGAGAGCTGCACCAAATCCACATATTTAAATTGAAGCCGATAAATACCCATGATACTCGTCATTAGTCTATTCAACCATTCGGTTTGATTCTATTATGCTAACAAAATTTACGTTTCTATTTGTTGATACGATGTGGCAAATCACCAGTGCTACACATTAAATAAGAGTGCTCTGTGCCTGTGCCTGTGTTCGTGTGTATGCTCCATACAATTCAGTTGCATGATACGCTAGAATCGTACTCTTCCATTCTTTCCAATGCTGAATTGATACAGTGTAAATAATTCGATTGCTGTGGCTGTGTGTACCACCGCATGTTTGCGGGTCTGACGAGGGAGACACAAAATTCATTTGCGATTTTCGTGCGATTTGACAGAGATGTCATCCAGAGGAGCAAAACTATTCTCGATTGACTGCTCAAATTCATAAAACCGAATAGCGTTTAATATTCACTCGTTCACACGTTCCGAGAAGAAGTGAAATGATTAAAACACATCCGTTGGCCATCGTCGGTATGCATTTACATCCGTTTACATCCAATGGTGATTTTATGTCGAACGAATCGAAACTTTGGCTCTCATTCATTTATCAATCCAACATAGCGGCTCCACACAAATGCGTGTCAAATACAAATATCTATTTGTGTGTGTACGTTTGAGGGAGAGAGAGAGAGAGAGTTTGTGTCCGTAGTGGCATTCTGGTTGACCTTATCGAAATAACCATCATCGGCAATAATAAATTAATCATTGCGTGCTTGACTTCACAGCTAATTTGCTGGAAATCAAAACAAAAATGTAATTATTCGTAATGGATTTGGAGAGATTTTCTCTTTTGCCATATATTTTCCAATCATTTTTCCTTCGTCCGTTCGACAGACATTTTATTCTCTGGTGGCCATCAGTGGCACACATTCAGCGCCCGAAGGAGGCGCGTCTTTGTCGTCGTCGTCATCGTCGTTGATCAAATTTAGCTTTCGTAATTATTGCTGACACCTGATCAACTCACAGATACTAGATATGGGCCAGAGTGTTTGTGTGTGTGTGTGTGTGTGAATCTATTTCAGTGGTTGTGGCCAAAAATTCGACCGAAATTGATCGATAGTTGAGCTTATTCAGCGTTTGTGGTGACGAAGAGCCAGCCAGGAAGGAACCATTCCATTTGCTCTAATCGAAATTCATAATACAAGGCAAAGCATTCTAATGAAATTCACATTTACTGCCATCATTCGAAGCAGGTCCAAGCATTCATAAAGCACTTTTGTCTTTTCCCTTATTTTTGATATTCTCTCTCTCTTTCACTGTTCCCTTCTACGCTCGCATACTTCCACGTTCGCTCAAGCCACTCTCGTTGAAATTTATCATTTTATTACAATAAATGTCACATAAAAATGTCAATAGCCAAACAAAGGCGAAATCACTTCATCGTTCAAGTTGCTGCAAGCGGTTGCGAGTAAACGGACGAAGGGTGCGATCCGATCCGAATGCCTAATGCTTTCAATCGGTGGAAATAGGAGATTTTGATAAATCTCACAACGACAACACACGAAACAACCAATTTGTTATTCTCAGCAAGCATCGCATGGAAAGTGCAGGTAGTTGTGTGTGTGTGTGTGTGAAAAAGAAGACGTTTTGTTGGATGAACGCACGATATTCACGCCAGCACCACCATCAACAAATTGCTTGTGTGCACTTTACTTCCGCATCCTTTGTACCTAGAAAAAGAAAAAGAAACATGTCATACAGACAAATTGGTGTCATCGTTGCTCGCAAAATGTATGCCTTGAATTGAAGTCGATTTGTTACTTTTTTGTTTCAAATTACACTTGCCAAAATGCCAAGCGAACGAATTAATGAACAACCTTTTTATGACACAGCAGAAAAAAGAGCACGGGGCAGACGGTATCTAATCGGAATATTCAGATTCGTGTTTGCCCAGGGCAAAAAATATGAATGAATGGCGAAAAAAAGCACTGACACATCACAAAATGGCTTTGGGAAAATTGGTTTAAGACGATCGAGAGTGAGCGTGGAAAAAAGAAGGAAAAAAAGAAGAAAAAACAATTGGCATACAAAAACGAGCAGATGAAATAAGGGACAAATATTAAAACACAAACAACCATTTTCATATTCACATACATACGCTTGTTCATGGATGGTGCGAGCCCAGTAACAGCGCGTCGCACGCACAAAAGAGAGAAAAAAAAAGAAAAAAAGAAATCATATAAAACATTTATGGCATATTTTATGTGACATTTATTTTGTTAAGAATTTGTTTTCGACGCAGAATAAAGAGTAGAAAGAAAAAAACACATACACACACGCGCGCGCCAATTGAATGCTAGCGAGAAAACTACCAAAATAGCTGCGAAGATTCGACACACGACCAGAATAAAAGCAGTCGAAAAAAACAATGTAGAAAAGAAACAATAAAATTGTCGAAAATGGCATTCGCTTTTTCTTTCTTTTCACCCGTTTGTTTTTCCCTTACATTCATCTCACATATATAGAGTCATTCGAAGATTTGGTGTGTGTGTGTGTGTGTGTTTGCTTTTGGAGCGCTCGTTCGCTCTCGCTGAAAACGCAACTCTCAATTGAACGCACATTGAATATAAAATGTGATGTTTGCCAATGAAAATCCTCTTGTTTCTTATCTGTCGCTTTTTTATGATTTCCTTTTTGTGCAAAATTCTCATTTTAATCTGTCGATTGGTGGCGTATGTGATTTATCGGTAATTTCATTTTAAAACCATCGTGTTACGCATATCTTGCAACTGATAGAAATACAGAGATATGTCTACACATAAAGTGCCAACAGAAAGGAAAAAAAACCAATCGAAGCCATTTTCTAGCTCAATGCTCGACCCATTCCATTTGCGGGCGGCAGTTTTGGTATCACGGAATAAAGTCATTCCACACAGAAAATGCCTTTTTATCAACTTTTCCAAAAGCTGAGCTTTGAGATATCGAAATTTAAACCGTTAAGTGTCTCTTTGGAGAGAGTGTGGAAAAAAAGACGTCGCCACAAAATGACAATAGTTGAAGTGAGCGCATTTTTATCGCAAGTAATTGAGCTGATGCGATAATCTATTCATAATGCTAAAGGGAAACATTTTCCGATGCAAACCGAACGCTCATAATAATCATCAAAAATGTATGTGGCGGCGATATCAGTCGCCTTTTTTCACTCTCTTGAGTGCTGCCGCCGTTACCGCCGCCGTCGCTCACTCAGTCGTTTAGCCGAACAAAGCCTTTCCGTTCGGTCTGATATGTGGCACTTTAATAGGATACTACAAATTGCCTAATGTAAACTTTGAACCAGATTTTAAAAAAAACTCAAAATGAACTGCTTTTTACATCACAGCAGCCGCAGAAGAAAAAAAATACATGACGTAAATGAAAAGAAGAATCTAGCGTTACGGCGAAATGCAAAATGACAGAAAGAAAATCCACGGGATGAAAGCGCACACATTCGAAAATGACACTGTAAATCTCCGCTCTAATTCTCTCTCTTCAACTAATTTACTTGAGCGTGGTACGCATTTCGGACAAAACATTTCCCCAGCTGCTGGCTTGGCAAAAAGTGAGCAGTCACTTTTTATTTTCTCTCGGTCGTGGTCACACTCTTGCACACACACACACACACACACAAAACCGAAATTGAAAATTCCACCGTTGTTCAGCTCGACATTAGCCCAGTTAATTTTGTTTCTGTGGAAGAGGTTGTTTACGAACGGTTTTACTTGTGATATCATTGAGGGCATGCTGTTCATTCGCTAAATAGATCTCCTCATGGGACACCAAACTTACCTGACTCACCTTTCAAATCGCTCGGCAAACATCCTCCTTATTGTTGCTGCTACTCCTGCTCTTCATTGTGCTGTTGGTACTCTTATTGTTCATTGTGTTTGTTGGCATGCTCAAGTACTTAACCAAATGGCGGAAGCAAAATCTCGACCCGTCGTCGTCATCGTCTCCCACTCGTGTTATTAATACGCATTATATGTATTATTTAACGGTTGAACAATATAAAGACGGTTCCGAGAAGGATCGAGGTGTTTTGTGTGTCGTGTGTGCGGTTTTAAGCTTCATTTTCTTGTCACCATCTCCTCCGCTCCCAAGAAAAAAGCGACCCCAACCAAACAGCGAACAGCGAGAAAAAATATAAGAAACAAAACATTTTCCTTGGTTTTTTACCAACGTTCAACGTTTTTTTTTTTTCTTTAAAGTTAAGTGAAAGCATTTCTCATAATAAGATTGAACTTTCCATCAGTCATTCAGTGTTGTTCTCTCTCTCTCTTTTCGTTGCTAGCTATCAAGCTGAAGATGTGTATCGAGGGACGAGAGAGCGGCACCGAATGAGTGGTGATGTGTATTGTGTGCGATTTTTATGTGCATATTTACTTATTTATCGTACGTTTTTTTTGTCGGTGTCTTGTTTTGCATCAGTCAGAGGGGGAGGATGGCCACCCTCTCGACTGCTGTCTTCTCAACCATTGCAAAGTGCATGTATCTCTTTGCCAATAACATATTTTTTTCTTCTGTTTCGCGTCAATTCACATAATAAAATGCGATTCAGTGTTTTTTTCTCTCTCAACAGCATGCTCTTCATTTTCAGCTTAAAAATGGAAAACGAAAGAATGAGATGAAATCAACAACAACAACAACAACACACAACTGATAAGAAAATGATGTGTATGCGCGCGAATAAAATGTAACGAAGTAAGTTGTCGATTGATGGTAACGCGCGCGCCACAGCAAATTTTTTAAGCGTCTCTCCACCCACCGAACAGAACACATATAGAAGGAAAAAAAAACGAAACCGGAGGGTGCCGATTTGTACTTCGGAGAGAGAAGAAAAAAGACGAACCAACGCATCGAACGAACGAACGAACGAGAACGCGATCTGTGTTTATGTGGGAAAAGCAATTTCATCGTTTGCTAAACGTTTTTATCGCTTGACAGAGATTTTTTTCTCTGCTTCTCCTCTTATTCGCCCGTTTTGTTCAACATTGCTTTTGTTTTTGTTGTTACAAATTTAATATCTCACTTTTTTTGTCTTCATCTTCATATTAAAAGCAACAACAATAAAACGTGCAGCGCAGTGAAAATGGCAACGGTTTTCTTTCACACCCTCCACTTTTATACTCATGAAGCTCCGCACAATGAAGATGAATCAGAAGAAGACGAAAAATAGAAAGAAAAAAAAACGAGGAAAAACAATATGATAAAGCATTATGAGCTCCAAATCCGTCACACATTCGACAAATGAGCTATGAATGAAAGAATCTATTTTAATTTTACTAAGTGCTAGCAAATGGTGGTGTTTTTTGTCGGTCGCCTTCTCCTATTTACAATAATAATCGTTTAAATAAATTAACCATCTTCATTCCAAGTGGGATTTTCAGTTTCAATCAAGCAATCTGCGGTTTTAATAGAATTGAGCTAAAGTGATTGTGTTTTTTTTTCTTCACATTTTTGAAGACATTCACTTTGTCTAAAGTTAGACTGTCATTTTCATTTTGCTTATTGAGCAAGATTCTGTAGATTTTGTGGATTTATTTTCTTTCATTTGAGTAGTTAAATCAACTAAAAATTAATATAATCATAAGAAATTAAAAAAAAAAATCATCATTTTTCGCCAATTTTCCTTTTTTGAGTTTTGCTGTAATAATGGCAATAAATTGAAAAGCAGCTGAAAAACCGATTAGAGATGTTTTTTGTTGGTAATTTTGTTGTTGTTGCTTTTGCTTCTACTGTTGCCGGCGCTGTTGTTTTTCATTTGAGCAGCACGCATTGTTGACATCACATCGGTAGCGGTGTATAACCAGTTAACCTGTAACAAAATGCAAAAATCGAATTTACCCAAATGCATAATTACATATTCAATTACAAAATTGTTTGTAAGCTGTATAACGTAATATTTGAATTGTATGCAAATAGCAAGCGTACAATCATCAGCATGCAGTTTAGTAGAATGGGCATGGAGAATACAGTTGATATGAATAGACCACTGCTATCGATTTGTTGACGCGAAAATAAACGCGAATGTTTTGTGGCCAATTCATTTATCTTCTCCGACATAAACACAGCCAACACTGTAAATAGACAGATAAAGAAAAACCGCAGTTTAAATGAGTGATAAAGTACTTGAGAAGAAAAACACAACGACGCGACAACGGCAACCGACAATAGAATCAAGACGACCGACAACGGCGGCGGTGGAACTAAATAGGCTATGCATTTTACAAGCGACACATTTTCAATTTCATAGTCTGTGTTGTGTTCGCGTACGCCGCTGTACACTTGCATTGACCTTCGGGTTAATCTAATGGTTTTCGCCAAGTCAGAACATGGTGTTTTTTTCTCGCTTCGATACTTACACATGGTTAAAAAGAGAATCATTTGAAATAATGAGTGTTTGCGAGTCATTGCCACCACCGTTATTATCGTCAAATGGGCAATTATCAATAGAATAAGCCATGGATCAAACCAATCAATCTGGAGGGAAAAGAAAGAAGGACACCATTTGGTTTAGTTCAATGCGTTTCGATTTCAAAACTATGCATTTTTAACCACGGAACAAATCAATAAAAGTGCATAATATGAACACAACCATAACGTACGGTCTTTAAATATGCCCAATATTCCACAATATCCGAAATTTTTATAAAAATATCTTCATCGTCCATTTCCATTTTGTCAATAAACAAAAACTATTCACTGTCGTCGTCGAAATCTCTCTAATTGACTGAATAATTGTCCAAAATAGAACGATTTAAATTCCCGCAACAAATCAATAATAACAACACATCACTCACAAAAAGTACCGTCCGTTCACTTGCACTCACAATTCATATCTGCTTGTGCCAGCGCGCATTTACACTTATTGTTTATTTACATCGCACACTTCGTTTGCGCTACTGGCTTGCATGTGTGTAGCCACATTTAATTTGACATTTCGTTTGCACGACCGGCCGCGATACTCCGCTTCTTTTCGCTTGTCATTCACATTTCAATTGTCATTTTGAGCAATTCGTCAATATATACACTTGAACGTTTCAATCAACGCTTTGTGTGCGACACGAATTTTGTTTCGCTTCGTTTCGTTTCACGTTGGCATGACCGTTACTAGCCGAAAAAAGCGAAAGAAAAAAAACGGAATCCAAAATTATTTCGCCGAAAAATAAATTAAAAGCCTTGATTCGCATCAGATTAGCGTTTATTTTGTGTCTTATAGCGACTCGTAATTACAAAATCGTAAACAGCACGCTCTTCCTCACACTCACTCACTCACTCTCGTCAAGTTGTGTTGTTGGGCTCATGTTTATGGGATAGTGTTGGTTGAGCGCAGTGTGTGTATATGTGTGATAAAATGGAATGTCGAGCGCAAAAGCTAGCTAGAATTAAAAAACTTTTCTCATTTCGGTGTATTCGTCTATTTTATTATGCTTGGGCTGTCGTGAGTGTGCTCAATATTCTCTGGGTTTAGTTTTGAGTCAGTTTCTTTTCGTTGTCGTTGTCGTCGCCGTTTCGTTCTTGTGCACCTGCTAAAATATCTGGAAATCGCTCTCACCTTTGCTTTATTAACTCTATCACCTCGTCGAAGAATTAGATTCAAAGTTCACACATAAAACTCGGCAAATCCAATTCCTTTTTCACTCTCCTTCTCGCTCTCTCACACCTTGCTTGGAATGTATCTTCTCTGTACTAAAAGTCGACGAAGGTGCAAACGGAGCGAAGGGATGAAAAGACCGATCCCAAGTGTTATTTGTGGCCCACATTTTTATGCGCATCGAGTGCTTTGAGCACCTGATTCGTGCTTTCATTTTGCACGCAGAAAAAATTATATGTATTTCAAAATAAGTTTTACTCAAGTCTATTCGGTTTCTTCTGGTGAACAAGTATCCATTTTACTGGCAAACCGTAGTCTGTGCCGATGATAGAAAGAGAGAAGGAGAGAAAAAGAGAAGAAATGTGGGAGCTTAAGCACGTTATTGATGTTGTTGCTGTTGTTTGGATAGTCGACTCCATCGAATGACTTATCGTATTTATGATACCACAATATCGTATATTATAATAATAATAACGGTAGCTAAATTTGCCTTGCCTAACTTTGCATCTCAATTCGGAAAAACATATGTGTCGATGAGAATAAATTTCGAACCGTATCGAAGTATTCACATCATTCGTGACTCGAATTCGTCGTACGCAGAATAAAAACTTTTTAAATTGTTAGTACATAAATATTGTTTACAGTCACACTTTGAACACAATAAATACACTTTCACTTTTTGATTTTTTTTAAACGGTAATTTCACAATAATATTCTGCTAGTGACTCTACAATAATTCTCTTCTGCTTGCGAAGCATTCAAATTCCCATTTTTTGGGAAACAAATTTAAGTCGCATTTTTTGCAAAAACTTCCATGATGGACAAATTCATTCTCAACGATTCATATCGACTTAAAATCGCATCCAAATACCAAGAAACTTGAAACGGTAAAAAAAAAGTCCGACTCTCAGTAAGAGCACAATCTGGTTATATGGCAAAAGTTTTCCAAACAACAATACTACTAAATAAGCAAATCAAGGAACCAATGACACGGAAATCCTAACGAGCCCAAACACGACCATGAAAGTTACCGGCTCTGAGAAAAGTGTAATTTCATTATTGAAGCAATTAAGATGTGAAAATGTGTAAAAAAAAAATTATGATATAGAATCAAAAGTTAATGAAACTCACTGCAAGTCACCGGAAGCTTCTATCTAATCTTTATTGGTATGGTTGAATCATCGAATAATCGTATGGACCAAAAATGGAATCAAGTTTATATCTAAATTGAGATATGGCCTACTGGTTTAATCAGGAATACATCGTTTTTCACTTAAATAAATTAAATTGTCACGACAGTCAAATAAACACATTCTCCGTACAATCGCATGTAACACAAACGAAAAGTATAAATTGTATTTACTATGCATTGGACCATTGAACTTACTATAAAACGGCAGAAAAGTCACTACCTCTTTACCATCCGAAGCAGCCAATTCATTGTCATGAAGTTTTGTCTGTCCGCAAATTTATTCATAGCCCAAAAGTCAGGCGTTCAAAAGTCTCGATCGATTTGTCCTCTGACTTGCCGCCACATTTTCCCGTTTCCTTCTTTCAATTGTTACCACATTTTTGTTTCTGGTTTCTGAATATATACAGAGTTAATTTTATGTTCACATCTGTGAAGGGCAAAGATCAAAATTCATATTGGAATATCCTTTTGTGCTATGCCACACACATACACTCATACACAATGCCAATTCATCTGGAGCCTTAGAACATTTGTCACATGTGGTCTACATTCACCACACACATACATAAATCTTGCAGGCGAACACACAAGCAACGGCTTGCTAAAAGGAAACCGTGGCAATAACTCTGGCATCGAGTAAGCGAGAGACAATGATACGCTTATTAAAACATCATTAGCCATAGACACGTTCATTTGTTCACACACACACACACACCCGAACAAACAGCTATAGCGGGATTGCATTGAATGACGCCGTCTGAATAATATGCTGACGCTTAGTCAACCAATCCACATACATATGTTACGCCAAAACCGACCACCGCTGCGATAGAGAACGATGCCGGAGAAATTAACTAGTACCGACAAGTACGTTGAACCAAATGTCACGGTGCAATCTTCAATGCAACCGAAACAAGTTTCCTTTTGGAAAATTGTACACTTTGCACGGGAAAACGTTGAAAATTAGATGCTCATTGTGTTGATATCAAATTTGGTGCTTTGTGTGCAATATGAAGATGCATGAGAGAAACTGCATTGTTGCCTGTTGGATGAATGAAAACTGAAATTAGTCGGCATTCTCGGGAATATCAATTTTGATGTGGAAAAGTGTTTAAGTCACAATTTGAACACTCAAACAGAATGCTATTTTCAACGTGATATTTAGTAGAGCAAAACCGTTGGAAAATATTTTTATATTTTAATTCAAAAATTACTGATTCACCATTTCACTTCGTTTCAATGATGAAAACAAATCAACCCTTTCCACCATTTTCCATGAAACCTATCGCAAAGGCCCAATCCATCGAAACGACCGAAAGTGAAACTATCATTAGTCTTCCATGACGTATTGTTCACGAGATCAAATAAATCCACACCGAAACACACAATGCGGGGGGGATAGAGAGCAACAGATGAAGTTCAAGTGGTCATTAAGTGCAAGAGTAAATAAAGATGTCACGATTTCCACACTGTTTGACCACAATAAACACAGTGAGTCAATGAGTGGTATTTGCTTTGTGTTATTGCTCTTGGCCAAAGACATAGTCCATGTTCTGAAGTGTGTGTGTATGTGTGTGTGTGTGCACAGACAATGCACACGCCAAATACCAAACTCCATTACACGCAGTATTAATACAACGCATTAAAAGCGACGGATGTGAGTGTGTGCGGTCGAAGAACAAGTTAATTTCGTTATGGCCAGCAGCGTATTTGCCATTCAATCTCTTATCACATCTTGTTATACTGGCACAAACTTCTAATTAGAAGTGATCGAATTTGTTGCCGCTGCTGTGTGGCTGCTACTGCTGTTGCTGCATGATTCTCTCTTAATTATGAACACAATGTCTTTTGTTTTGCAAACCATTGAATAGTTTCATTTCAATGTCATGTTTTAGCTCCCGTTTGTGGCACATTTCTCATCGCCCTTGTGTCTTTCCATCTCATTTATTTTCGGCGTATTTTTCAGTATTATCATTAAGCCGTTCATCTGCTTAGTTTTCCGATAGCTTTTTGTATTGTATACATCAATATCCAAGCAACAAAAGCATAATTATCATCTTGAATTAGCCATGTTTGTGTTTTTTCTGTTGATTATCCGTTTTAATTGATACATTTTGATAAAATCAAGCAACTTTTCACACATTGGCAATTTTTGGGGGAAATTACTGATTATTCGATTGTAAAAACTGAATATATTCGAGTGAAATATCGGTCTTTGGTCAGTTTTTTCGAAGTTCGGTGTAGGATGGATTCATTCCAAACGTCTCTCAAATATGTATTCCCGTTCCAAGTTCACAAAAAGAACCGACATAGCAACCACACAGATTCTGAATGAAACGCATGTTGACGAATTGCCACGAACTGCAGTCTTATTTACTGACATTCCATTTGGAACAGTGTAGTGCTGCATAATTTCATGTGGATACGTTTCGTTGCGGTTTCCTTCGAAATTGTTCAACTTCAACCTTGGGTTCGGGAAACTGGTACGTGTGTCATTGAACCCACCATCCATGCTATTTACATAGTTCTGTGCTCCACTAAAAATTAGTTAAAACTTAAATTTTAGATTCAATTCTCTTGAAATTGAAATAACTTCCAATTGCAAAGTTTCGGTTGAAATCTACCATTGAGGTTTTCACTAACAAATGAACAATTTTCACATACATTCGACCTGCTAAAGTTTTCCGCCGAACAGAGGTCATTGCATGCATTTTGTTTAATTTGTTACGAAAGGCGTATATTTTATGGTTTATTTGTTATATGACTATGCTTTGATGATATATTTTATTGGCCAAGTGAAGTATTTGCATGTTTGAATAGTAGCTCAATTTGACGTTGAAAGCAATAATACCACTTAACACATCACGATGGATGCAACGACGTACAATGAATTGTGGTGTTCACACACTGATGAGGCGGGTTGCATCAGAGGTATTTTGCATTTGTCGTAATCCATTTGCATTGTTCTAGAAATGCGTTAGACGGATGGATGGGATCACAATCAAAGGTTCATGTTTTATGTGGATCAATAGTTGTTTGATTTTGTGTACGTAACAAAATGT